CCAGGTAATTTATACATAGCAAGGTGTATACATCCCACTTAACTAGCCTAGATTCTTCCATAAATCTTATTATTGGACTTATTTTTATTTTTATTAATATAACAATTATATTAGATAACTTGAAAATATCTAGTTCTATTAATTCTCAGGATAATTTAAAACGAGAAGACACAGTGTGAAATTAACCACCACCACTACCGCAACAACAACAGCAACAAAAACGATGACGACAATTTAGAAATTTGCATTTGTGCATTCTTTCTTAATTACCCTTCTGAAGAATAGTGCTAACTGTAGTAGAAAAGCAAGATGAGGAAGGTGATGTGAGTAAGGGAGAGTGATGCTCAGGTAAGCTTCGTGTGCTTTTGGAAGTGTGTGGGCGGTTGTTACTTCCCGGCTGCCCACACCGTGGAAGTTGGTTGAGTCTTCGGGTACCCGAAATAGAGATAAGGTTAGTGTTGCGTGACCGCAGAGCCCAGGAGACAACTGCTTGAGACCAGTCACACGCGGCCTGTTTCTGTTTGTTCTTTCTTTTTTGGTGTGTCTCAGTGGCATATTTATCACTTCTGCCCTGTGACATAGCAGCAGGAAGCGCGGTCGTAGTTAATCCGGGCCCCGACCGATCCGGCATGATATTTTGTGAATTTGTTTGAATCATAGTATTGGATTGGGTAGCTGCTTTTTGTCCAACCGCTATCCAAACAACCTTTCTGGCATGGTAGAACCTACAGGAACATAAGTTCCAGCCAGTGTAGCTCGTTGGGTCATTGCGATATGCAAGCCCGACCACCACGTCAAGGTAGCAGCCCATTTACCGTGTGCCAAGAAGATCATACATATTGTGGATTGAATAATTTCAGTTTTCACAGGAAACTATGGTGCGATTTCATCACCTCGACCTGTGTAAATTATAAATTACAAATATTAACTTAGTGCATCGGTGGTGCAGAGATAGAACGCTTGCCAACCACGCTGCATGTGGTTTGGGGTTCGATCCCCGGCCACAGACGCACTCCCAAATCTCTCTTAGCTAATAATTAGCCTGGCAAAGGGAGAAGGTTGGGCGTGAGGCTAGCAATTCCATCCCGTAAGAGTGAGACCACTGCTACTGAAACTTCAAAGCTCCAGCTTGAAGCCCTATGTTCCACTGCGAGCTGAGTCGAAACCAAGTACACCGCTGATGAGCTTAATTCAGCTAAGCTAGTGAAACAGTCGTCCGGTGTTTAGATCCTTTCCTTCTGAATTGAAAAACACTGCTGGTTGACGTAAGTGGTGTACAACTAACTACTCGTCTCAATTAATCAGTGCTACAAACTGACGAGAAACTAAAGTTGACGAAATACAGGGAACCGACACATTCAAACAAGTATTTGAATTTTCTGTAGTTGGTTTGTAAGGATTAGTTTTGTTTTTATGAGTTGATCACGGATTGATATCAGTTAGAGAACCATTGAAAACCAGCACTGCACAGCTGTTTCATCCTAGTATGGGAATCATCGGCAGTACGCACCCACTGGGGTTCGAACTCAGGACCTTCCGGTTACAAGACGAACTCGTATACCATTGAGCCACTGGGACCTAATTCGATGGCCCATGAATTCTAACTTCTACCAATTCGTGATTTACCGTGACCCCAACCAATGGTCTATGAGCTGGCGTTGTAACCGGAAGGTCATGAGTTCGAACCCCAGTGGGTACGTACTGCCAATGATTTCCAAACCAGGATGAAACAGCTTTCCAGTACTGCCTGGTGGTTTTCAATGGTTCTCTAACTGATATCAATCCGTGATCAACTCGTAAAAAGTATTTGAATTGCCAATCAGATCATCCAATAAGAATGAAAGTTCCAGTAGCACTAAATCTCGTTAACAGAGCTAGAAACAATATAACAGATAACGATGGCATGGAGGACGAGATCTTCAATATAAAACAAATTTCGATTGGAAATGGTTATCCGAAAAAAACTGCTAAATAATATTACCAATAAAAAGGAGCAGATGGGAAAACAGGAAAAAATTGAAAAATCCTGGCTATCGACGATAGCTATTCCATATTAGAAAGAACACAGCTGAACAACTTCAAAGACTACTATTACTATTAGTCTATTTCAAACCCTCTAATTCTCTAGAAAAAACCTTTGGTGAATGTCAAAGATATGGTTCCCGAAATGACATAAAACAACAACTGTGTCTATATGATAAAGTGTTCAGAATATGAAGCTTGTCATATAAGGGAGAGTAGTAGATAGATGAAGGTCAGTGAATAGACACAAGCTGTACAAGAAACGTCCGGCTAGAAATGAAGTAGAATTAAAGAGTCTAGAAAGAAGATCAGCTATGGCAATCCATGCTATATATAGAGAACTTAAGATTGATTTCGACAATGTCGAAATTCTAGGAAAAGGCTTTCATTCACATAAAGAAAGGCTGACCTCTGAAGCCTTGCACATTTTAACCACATCGAATGCAGTAAATAGGAGAGAAAGGATAGGCTTATCCCCTGTATGGCAGACTCTAATGAAACAAATCAGATGAGAAAATAGGATTCAATCTTATAATACTACTAATAATAATAATAATAGTTTGCTTTATTTCAGAAACAGTACTAGTGGTACAGTGTGGAATTTTCAGCACATATCTACAATATTTGCATCTAATTTTACAGACATTTAAAATAAGTATTAAACAAACAAAAAAATAAATCTGAAGACACCAACAGCAAAAATACAAAAAAAACAGGATAAACACGAAATAATTATAAATGCTAAAAAGTACCAAAGTCTACCAAAGTCTAATGCAGTGTTTGTGGTGGTAGTGTGAGTAATCCTGAATAATATAAAATTTTTTTTAAGGTGGTGACTATGGCGTTCACAACCAATGATTGTCAGTTTAATATTGCCGAAAAGTATGGAAAATAAGAAAAAACAGCCACAAAACTAATAATTACATGATGGTTAATGACAGGACAATTTTGTAATACTCATAGTGCTAATAGAGTCGGAACCAGTGGATACACAATAGAAGGAATATAGTAAAGTACAAAAAAGGAAGCCAATGTTAATATTTTAGGTAGCTAAGTATGTTTGAGAAGGAGTTCACTATAGAATACAAAATAAGAGGGAAATAAAAGAGCCCGAAATTATGTTGTTAATAACAGAGCAAGTCATAAGTTTCACGCTTAACATTGTCTCTGTCGCTTAGAACACGGGCCAAGTATGGTATCGTTGAGTTCCTGTACTTGGTTGTACGAGCATATATTATTTTATACTGATTTCTGGTTTTACTTGATGAGATACAAGGCGAGAGTTGGGAATAGAGTGGGTGTTGGGGGTGAAATATTATCATATTTTCACGTGTTTCCCTTACAACAAACAACATACACTCACACACACTCAAACTGGTAAATATGCCCATATTACGATTCGACATTAGTTGTTACAAATATGTGATGACTGTTTACATGTTTCTATTTGTACAAATGTCTACTAACAAGTGACTTTTAGAGGAACTCACTTCCATTTATGTGATTTTTTAAAAATATATATTTTGATAAAGAAAAACACAGTCGTTTTTGTTCAGCGAAGAAATACTATCTCTTATCAATGACTTTATTTTCAAGCAGCTGTACAGTCGTGTTTATATTACGGAAAAAGGCATTAGGTGCCACTAGAAATTGTTCAGTCAATATTGCACATATGATAAGAATAAAGATAATTAAAATGATGTACTACTAAGGAGGTAAAGTTCTGTCTGTCTGTTTTCGACATAGAACTTTGCACCAATGTGCAGAAGTTAAAGTCGCCACACTCCATGTAGTACACAGCAACAGAAGAAAATAGAAGAAATGCATAATAGAGAAAGTAGACAGGGATATGAGAAAAAAGAAATAGTAATATGGAAGAACAATATAGTTTCATTGGATATCATAAGTCACAAGGAGTAGATGCATCTGCGCCAGCCGTTGAGAACGATTTTGACGGTCATATCACCAATTGTTTCTAGGCTTCATTGGTTTTACCGTCCCGAGGACCCCAACCAGGAAGCCAGTCTACACCTTCCTACGTGACTGGCTGAAACTAACTGTTGTGTATTTCACTGACTGGTGCCATGTTTTGGTTTGACCGCCGCTAGCTAGCTCTTTTCCAGCCTGACCCTATGTCAGCTAACATTGCCCATTGAGGAAGGCGATGGCTAGACATGCATGTGTAACACATGTCCTAACCATCTCAGTCGATGTAGTTCCACAACCTCGTCGATTCATTTCCCCTTCCTCCATACCTAATACTCGACGCCTAACCTCAATATTGCTTACCCTATTATACCACTTCACACGGGAGATAGAACGCAGGCACCTATGATCAAAGACAGCTATCTAGCCAGCCTTTTCATGTCTTCCACTCTCAATGGCCAGGTCTCACAGCCAGCCATAAAGGAGGACGGAGCGGACTGATGAGCAGTACACACACCCTTTGATCGACAGCCAGTCGGATATTACGTCTACGCCAGAGACGGCGTAAACTGGCATATGCCAAACGAGCCTTCTATATTCGTACTGAGATTTCGTCAGCGATCAACCCGTTGGCACTGGCTGATGCAACTTCCCAAATAAGTGAAGCGATCAGAGTCTTCTGTGGGGCGGAAGGGTAGAGTTGAAATGGATGAATAACAAAACTTTTAAAGATTATTAAATAAGTGAACTGGTATAAAGATTTTAAATATGTATATATATTTTGATGGTTAATAAAATCGGAATAATCCTACTGCTGAAGAAGCTGTGGTGGCTTACACAGAGAACCGTTCAGAAAACAGATCTTGTTTTGATTTAAATTTTTTTTCTTAACTGGATTATTTTAAATAATATATCATGATTCAATCTCACTCAATACTCAAATTATTCCAGGAAATTCGTAACATCTACAATCTGCAAACTTATAGCACTGCATAAAACTTTAAAAATGACAATAAAATAAACAAAACAAGAGTTGTAGTCATTTTACTCACCTGATTTACTGAATCACTCATTGATTTAATATTATTGTTGTAATTATTATCACTATGATTATTATTATTACTTTCTTGTCTCTTTATTATGAAAATTTTGAACAATTTTAGCTGCCCTTTCAGCAGCTAACTTCATTTGTACAGCGAATTCTGTTAAACTTAACTGAAAACTCCAATCCATTGAATGTTCAAATGAACAATAATGAAAGTCATTAAAATTACAACTATAATTCAGTGAATTATTATAAATATATTCAATTAAATGATCTTCTGGTGATGATATAATTCGTTGTATAGATAAAGAACTTTTTGTACAGTGAATTGAATACAATGTAATCATTAAAACAATAACTAAATGCATATTAAATTCGATAAGTGTTGAACATACTCAAATTTTTTTCAACTTTCCCGCTCTCTCTATGTATATGTATAGTTAGGTATGTATATATATACATATATAAATAGTTTTCCTTAGTGGGATAATATCATTCACATGTAAGTAGCTTCAGTAGTTGCATATTTTCATTTTCAGCATATTACACATTTTTGTTCAATATCATTAAAACAATTCAGCTTTTGTGTAATAGCCGGATTTGTGTGTTGTTCATTTCTAATGAATGACAATTATGCTACAATGATCGACTAAAATGAAAACAAAAAAAGCGAGAGAGAAAAAAAAGGATGAAAACGTGTTCGGGAAACAAGTAATAAAGTTTGAGAACCATTGGAAAACCAACTGGGAGTACTGGACAGTCAGCCGTTTCATCAGCCTAGTTTGGGAATCATCGGCAGTACGCACCCATCCACTACCAGGTTTCAAACTCAGGACATTCTGGTTACAAGGCCAGCAAGCTCTTAGACCATTCAACAGCCAGTGGGACCCGATCCAATGACCAGTCAGTCCATGAATTCTAACTTCTGCCAATTCATGACATAACGCGACCGCTTCACAATGTCTTCTTCGTTGAGTTACTGCCTCGTCTTCAACCTGAATGACAAAAGTAAACGCTGAAAAGAAATATCAGCAAAAATGTATTTGTGATGCACTAATCCTTTAAAAATATCATCTCCTGCTGAATGTCTTCGTTAACGTAAAACATAATCTTATCTGTTCCTTCCACTTATATTTTTGCTCTAAAAGTATCGTCAAACATATAAAGTTTTTAGTTTAGAGTTGACAAAGAAGGTCTAATAATCGATGTTCGACTAAATTTGATCGATTTTGACCATCAGTATTGTCTACGGAATTATCTGTTATCGACTTCATTCAATTATCTAGGAAGCACAGTTTCAATCACAGGCGGAGAGGATGAGGATGTCAAAGCCAGGCAGAATCGGAAAGGCACCAATCTGAAATCGGTTTTGAAGACTTCTGCATTGACTCAGCAGAAAGAACTAAATTCAGATTTTCAAAACAAATGTCAAGTCAGCCAGTCAGTCACTTCTTCTACATAAATTGAAAACTTGTCACGTGCGTCACGAAGAGCATTACCAACAGGCCACTGCAGACTTTTATCAACAGCTGATGCCTTCACTGGCTCCATATTGAAGATCAAATGGCAGATCAAAATGAATTACCAGCTAGAAACTCTGCAGTGGAACAAACGAACCAAGAACGTATCTCTTCATAAATATGCAGGGGAAAATGGAGATGGATTGGGCATATATTGAGGAGATCGTCGAATGAAAGCACGCTTAATGAAGGCGATCGCTCTAGTGGGACTCGGATGGGAAATGACAGGTGGGTCGTCCTACAGTGACATGGAGGAGATGAGAGATTATGGGCAATCGTGGACTCAGCTGAAGAGGACAGCAGAAAAAAGAAAAATTGGAGAAGTGTTGGTCAAGCCCTATGTTCCACTCGGAACCCAAGGGAATAATAGTAATAAAATAATTTGGATCCTCGTGAAAATTCCTCGAACTATCAAAATCTATAGTAGTTCATCTTTTAAAGCCTGAATTTCGCATACAAAATAAATAAAGTCAATCATTACACCTGAAGTAAACTTAACATCTTATGAGTATTGGATCTTAAAACATCCTTTCATTTATCCTGCTACAATCAGGTGACACCTTATGGAACATTTTTCTACCTGACCACTGCTAAGCTCCATTCAATTCCTTTCTGGGTTTTTGGATTTTAAGTGGAATGTAGCGCCTAAAGTTTTGAAATTTCAGTAATAGTAGTGTTGTTGTTCACGGGGTGACTTTATTAGCCTTCACCTCTCCCCACCTTTCCGAGCTTTCTATCGGCTAGTTTAACCGGTCGAGATTTAGAAGTGGATTGGTCGGAAAACTTGAATAAAGAAATGGAGAAGGGTACCATGGTGATAGCAGCTGCTTGTACGTCCGGGGTAGTGCTAAGCGGTCCGGCAAATAAGAACACAGACAATGTTTGCTTAAGAACTTTGTTACTACTTCTGCTAAGTTCAATCCCTTTAAATACGTTAAATTCCTAAACTTATCGAATTGATTTCGCCTTAGTTTTAACGAATCTTTATCTGATGACTATATTTTACACAGTTTAGGCCTTTCGAATTGCATGAGCTTTATTAAGAATATTCTTCCTTATATTCATATAAGTCAGAAAGGACAATTCAGAAAAAAGAAACCATGGTTAATGCATTGAAAACACTATCTACTTATGCATTTGATTGTCTTTAAGGTGTGGTCGTTTTTATTTACTTTTTTTTTTTATTTACAACTCTATTCCATCCAAATAATCCACATTTGAAGTAGCTAATCAGTTGATTTCGAGTATGAGATCTAACTTTGGTATTTTATAACCACATGCATGTTTTAGGTTTTTAGTTCTTGGTGCCCGCATGCCCACTTGATGAGGACTATAGGAAACCTCAACACTGGTAAGCACTTAGTAGCACAGGTATGCATGTATGGTCCCAGATTCACGTTTTGAAAAGCCTTTATAATCGCTTTGCTCAAAAAGTGAATCGCATGCTATGTGTGGATAACCTATGAATTCAGACGACCACATTACTAGCGCTGATGGCACACTATCCTCAAGAGTTGAATTTACACTGACCGACTAGGTCATAAGTAGTGTAGTTAAATATCAAACTAAGATGAATATAAGAGTACCCACTGATTCTCTAGAAAATGTAAATTATCGCTTATTGCACTTATAAGATGCAGTAACTAGAATATGTAAAACCATATGATATCCTACAGAACATCATGTCCATGTACGATTGATTTTTGTAAACTCTGTATTACAGATTCGTACCACAGGATGACAAGTAAAAAGGCTTGCTACAGTCGTTTAAGAGAGAAGCTATGCAACTCTTTGCTAAAGGCTATCAAATCTGTTAATCACAAGCTGCTTCAGAAACGAAGACAGTGATTATTCTACTTGAAACAAGTCACGATTTTAGGCAGATCAAATGCTAATAAACATTTTTTTAAAGACGTATAGGATGGTGAATAAAGCAATTCACAAGTAGTTCAACTGACCTACTAATTTGAAGTTCTGTACACTGATACACTCCACTTCATAATCAAAACAATGATCTTAAAATGCTTCATCTGGTAAGAACAACTTAATTTTAAAGCCAACTTTAGATAAAAAGATTACTGGACTTCTAAAGACAGAGTGGAAAGCAAAGCGCACACTTTGCAACGAAGCCATTGACTTTATGTATACATGAAGAAGGCTTGTGTGATGCAGATGAAAATTATGAAAATATTACCCCATTGCCTGATAAATACAACATTTTAAATGACAAGATATGTTGAATTAACACTGAAGCTTGGTAGAGTTGTTTATTTTGGCTACTCTTCTTTACTAAACACTATTATAAACGTGACGTATGACAGTGACGGAGATCTACTTACTAGGTAACATTTGTGCTACTAAAACTGCACTTAATCATTTTGTGATTAATATCCACAAATACCGCATTTACTCTGCATTATTTTATGTTCTGTCGTATTGCTTATATGATTGTCCTAACGTTACCACTACTGGTTTCGACACATGTCACCTAGATTCTACAAATATCGATGTTATTTGTATTACTGAACTCAGACAGTGATACTGAATCTTTTAAACCCTTCAAGCCAGCATCCAATAACGTCACACATTGGGCTTATGTTTTCATATGGCTAATTTCGCTTTCTTTTGATTTGATACTGCTACAGCTAACATTCCATTTCAAGGTAAGAAGTGACTGCGCATGCGCGTAGCGTATTTGCTAGTAACTTGAAGTAGTCAACAAGTTTGCAAACTCATCTACTGTCTTACTTTTCTTATGCAATAATCTATACGCCTGATCTCGAAATTACACAGTGTTTCTAACAATACACAAGCAATAAGACCAAAATACTCATGATGAGTAATGTATGAGTTTCTCATTTTATCTGTTTGACAACCACAACTCGCACTCATGAAATAAAGCAGAGGAGGCTTCTGCACAGCATGACCAATATGAAGCAGATAAATGCATCTAGTGAGTGTCGTGAACTAGGTAAGCCTTTTGCATTTACACTGAAATTTTATCACTAAGGTCGTGTTGAGTTTTCAAAAGACTAAGGTGACAAATCTCTTTAATTTTAAGCTAGATAGGCTATTAACTTATATCTATCCCGAAATAAATTTGAGTTTGGTAGGTGTAAAACAAATTAGCCGATCAGAGAATCACGTTTATAGAGCATCAATAAAAAACAAATGTCTGTGGCAAACATGCTTACACGATAAAACAAGAAATTCCAAACAATATAAAAAGGACGGCAACTACTCAGTAAATCAAAACAGAATTCTCATTGCAGACTAACTGGAACGAAATTGGAGTGCCTGAGAATGTTATTTTGAAAGACAGAACATTCCTACAGTTATTCAAAGTTTTTGCGTCATGTGAGAAGAAGAATGGTTGGAATTTTTTCAGATACTAGGTCCAGCAACTAATGCCCTATCATTACAGTGAGTTACACATTTTTATATTCAGAAGCAACAATTTAATAGCCTTTTTATTCTACAGAGAACGAGGAACAAGAGTAATACTTGCTTTCAGCCATGTATTGTTGTTATGATTCCTGCAGTGTGCAACATGAAAAATCTCCTTTAAGAAACTTGAGGTACTGAAGACAGGTTCTTTTAAATTACAAGACATTTCTAGTGCATACATAAAAAATACATGCAAAATTAAATTTTTCTGTTTGCTTTCATTATTAGATGTCATTGCTTTTAAACACCTCAAGAGTAGTCTTAAAGACAGTCTTAAATTTGTACAACACTTCGCTCTTATACACTTTTATATTGATTGATTTATCAGTACAGAATACAGCACAACATCATATTCTAAATAGTATTCAGATCGACTTAATCAATCCTCTCAAATTAAAATT